AAGGAAGTACTTCAGTACAGTAATTAATAAAAAACAATGTACGGAATAAATGTTTGATACATTACGTGGCTTCAGTCTCCCCATGGTGCTCCCAACCTCCAGACCCACAGGGCCCTACAGTCTCCCACAGTGCCTCTGAAAATCCCCTTCGGCCCTGAAGAGACCTCATCCCCTACAGTTTCCCCAAGAAATACAGTTTTTAAAAGTCCATTGGCATGCCTATAAGGAAGTACTTCAGTACAGTAATTAATAAAACAATGTACGGAATAAATGTTTGATACATTACGTGGCTTCAGTCTCCCCATGGTGCTCCCAACCTCCAGACTCACAGGGCCCTACAGTCTCCCACAGTGCCTCTGAAAATCCCTTTTGGCCCTGAAGAGACCTCATCCCCCACAGTTTCCCCAAGAAATAGAGTTTTTAAAAGTCCATTGGCATGCCTATAAGGATGTACTTCAGTACAGTCGTTAATAAAACAATGTATGGAATAAAAGTTTGATACATTGTCTGGCATAAAGGTTGTTGACCCCTGACCCTCACATCTACCTATATGACCAAAAGCATTATGACACTTCTACAAATGATTGAGTTCAGGTGCTTCCAGAGAAGGGCACTGCTAAATCTATAGCATACAAGGACATTTTGTGCCAGTTGAAGATCCCCTAACCATCCACAGTGCTTTCCAGCTCCCTTGCCCACCCCCCCCCCCAAAACTCTCATAGTGGTCTACAGTGCCCAAGACCCCCTAAGATTCCTCGCTACCCTCAGTTCTCCCCAACAAACCACAGTGCCAGCCATCACCATACTGCACCCCGTAGCTTGCTGGAGAGTCTTTAGTCTCCCCATGGTGCTCCCAACCTCCAGACCCACAGGGTCCTACAGTCTCTCATAGTGCCTCTGAAAATCCCCTTCGGCCCTGAAGAGACCTCATTCCCCACAGTTTCCCCAAGAAATACATTTTTTAAAGTCCATTGGCCTGCTTATAAGGAAGTACTTCAGTACAGTAATTAATAAAACAATGTACGGAATAAATGTTTGATACATTACGTGGCTTCAGTCTCCCCATGGTGCTCCCAACCTCCAGACCCACAGGGCCCTACAGTCTCCCACAGTGCCTCTGAAAATCCCCTTCGGCCCTGAAGAGACCTCATCCCCTACAGTTTCCCCAAGAAATACAGTTTTTAAAAGTCCATTGGCATGCCTATAAGGAAGTACTTCAGTAGAGTAGTTAATAAAACAATGTACGGAATAAAAATTTGATATATTATCTGGCATAAAGGTTGTTGACCCCTGACCCTCACATCTACCTATATGACCAAAAGCATTTTGACACTTCTACAAATGATTGAGTTCAGGTGCTTCCGGAGAAGGGCCCTGCTAAATCTATAGCATACAAAGACATTTTTTGCCAGTTGACAATCCCCTAACCTTCCACAGTGCTTCTCAGCTCCCATGCCCCCCCTAAACTCTCATAGTGGTCTACAGTGCCCAAGACCCTCTAAGATCCCTCGCTACCCTCAGTGCTCCCCAACAAACCACGGTGCCAGCCGGCACCATGCTGCACCCCGTAGCTTGCTGGAGAGTCTTCAGTCTTCCCATGGTGCTCCCAACCTCCAGACCCACAGGGCCCTACAGTCTCTCACAGTGCCTCTGAAAATCCCCTTCGGCCCTGAAGAGACCTCATTCCCCACAGTTTCCCCATGAAATACAGTTTTTAAAAGTCTATTGACCTGCATATACGGAATTACTTCAGTACAGTAGTTAATAAAACAATGTACGGAGTAAACGTTTGATACATTATCTGGCTTCAGTCTCCCCATGGTGCTCCAACCTCCAGACCCACAGGGCCCTACAGTCTCCCACAGTGCCTCTGAAAATCCCCTTTGGCCCTGAAGAGACCTCATCCCCCACAGTTTCCCAAAGCTCCCTCCAAAATCCCCATTCTCTAAAGGGTCACTAGGTTTTCTGCAGAGAAATACAGTTTTTAAAAGTCCATTGACCTGCATAAGGATGTACTTCAGTACAGTAGTTAATAAAACAATGTACGGAATAAAAGTTTGATACATTATCTGGCTTCAGTCTCCCCATGGTGCTCCAACCTCCAGACCCACAGGGCCCTACAGTCTCCCACAGTGCCTCTGAAAATCCCCTTTGGCCCTGAAGAGACCTCATCCCCCACAGTTTCCCAAAGCTCCCTCCAAAATCCCCATTCTCTAAAGGGTCACTAGGTTTTCTGCAGAGAAATACAGTTTTTAAAAGTCCATTGACCTGCATAAGGATGTACTTCAGTACAGTAGTTAATAAAACAATGTACGGAATAAAAGTTTGATACATTATCTGGCTTCAGTCTCCCCATGGTGCTCCCAACCTCCAGACCCACAGGGCCCTACAGTCTTCCACAGTGCCTCTGAAAATCCCCTTCGGCCCTGAAGAGACCTCATCCCCCACAGTTTCCCCAAGCTCTGTCCAAAATCCCCATTCTCTAAAGGGCCACTAGGTATTCTGCAGAGAAATACAGTTTTTAAAAGTCCATTGACCTGCATAAGGACATACTTCAGTACAGTAGTTAATACAGTAGTTTTCTGGAGAGTCTTCAGTCTCCCCATGGTGCTCCCAACCTCCAGACCCACAGAGCCCTACAGTCACCCACAGTGCCTCTGAAAATCCCCTTTGGCCCTGAAGAGACCTCATCCCCCACAGTTTCCCAAAGCTCCCTCAAAAATCCCCATTCTCTAAAGGGCCACTAGGTTTTCTGCAGAGTCACTTAAATCCCCACAGAACCCCCATCCCCCAACAGTGACACCCAGCCCATCCAGAGCCTTCCAGCATTTCAATACATATTTTATATTCCCATACTTTTATTGTGTGAGTATAAACTTTTTTTCTAACTATTGGGGCATATGAGGATTTGAAAGAATATACGAGGCCCTGGTCTCAATGATGAACCATTACACTAGAGGACCTCTGCTATGGGAGTGCTTAAACCTAAGTTTATTAAATGATGTGTGCCTAGAGAAATGCAGTGTATAAAAAAAAAAAACCAATTCCTGAAAGAGTTCTATGCACTCTAATTAGCAATGAAAAAAACAGCTCACCAGAGCAGCAATTGTATAAAAGGCTTCAAATCATTGTATTAAATAACTGAACCTAATAATGTTATGGTATATATTTTTTTTACATGTTGACTGATCTAACAATGCTTGTATGGAATAATCAAAGTAAGCTTTTGTATCCAGAAATCAGATCTAAACAGACATATGGAATTGAGGTATGTAACAAGTATGGAGATAAGAGAAAGCTAGAGCTATTGGCATAGACAGCATAGACACTCATTTGTGTTATATGTAGATAAAGAACTATAAATGCATAAATGCGTAATGTATACTTAACAAACTCTCTCTCACCGTCCAATCTCCCAAGTCATTCCTCATCATTATACTGCAATTTTCACCTCAACTCTTCCATTAATTTAAAAATTTGCCATTTTATAATATTATTCTTCACATTAAGTACCTGTAATATGATTACTTGCAAAAGCACATCTGTGTAATTTTTCTGTTTATCAGCTGCTTTTCTTTCACATTTTCTTCCTTCCTATAAGTAAGTATAAATTTAAAAATGTAGGCAATCAGGATAAATGAGGAAATAAAAGAGTAGAGTAAAGTAGAAGGCAAAGCAAAAGTTAAATGCTCATAGATGTAAAGCAAAATGGTAAAAGAGGGTACCACAACGATACATTTTGTCCAAGTTCTTTTGAATCTCTGTTTTAGGGCCTCCTCACGTATTTAATAGTTGACTGTTGAACTGGAACGACTACACGTTGATCAAAATTTGGCCATTCCCTGCTGAACTGGGTGAATTTTGATCCATATATGGCCGGCTTAAAGCAGGACCCATATATTTTTTTTTTTATATTAACAATTTTTATTGATTTTCATGAATATACAAACAGTATGTTTAAAAAAGGATAAGAAAAGAGAACAAGCATAACAGAAAGGTACATCAATGGCAAAACTGCGTAGGGACAGGACCAGCAAGATCATAAAATAACAGTGTGAAGGTTATCAGGACCTTACATTTTGGGCCGGCATAGAGGAAATGAAGGTATCCCATGGGAGCCAAATCATCTCAAACACAGCAAACGAACAATCATGTAGTGCAGTCAAGTATTCCATCTGTCTTACATCAGCAATAAGTTTGTACAAAATCGACATTGAAGGAGGAGTAGAAGATAACCAACACATAGGAATGCTTCTCCTAGCCGCGGTCAGAACATGTACAGCAAGTTTTTCCGGATGGTTTAGGTAGACCCGGAAATGGTAGACCTAGCAAAAAATGTAATGGATCAAGCAGGAGAGAGGTACGCATTAGTGATTGTAACAAGGAGGGAACATCTTCCCAAAAAGGAGTAATGGAGCTGCATGTCCAAAAGATATGGTAGAGAGAACCCAGGTCTCCACCACAGCGCCAGCAGGAAAGCAGGACCCATTTACAGTATGTGGTTCTAGAAAATGTTTACTTATAACACAGAATTTTGTAGATTTTTTCAAACATAACTGAATAGTAACATATTGTAAAAGAATGCTGACATATGGAATCTTAAATGAATGTAGAGCAAATGGTGAGTTTTTTTGTATTATATATTTTTAACTTTTGCCAGATCAAAAATGGTTTAAGCTGTGGGAGGTTTCCCATTATACATGTATGTCTTGTTTATTGAAAAAATTGTCTATTTTTATGTTCTTTTACTAGATGATCTATCAAAACAATATAACCTATGTTGTAATAATGGGGTTTTCAAATCTTAACTGCATCAAAATGCTCTTTTTCTCAGTCCTTCTTTTGATATATTGTGGTACTATCTTCGGAAATATTTTTATTGTATTTTTATTTCTTCTGAGCAAAACACTTCAGTCTCCCATGTACTTCTTTATCACCCAACTATCATTGCTGGATATCATTCTGACCACAGATATTCTTCCCAACCTTCTTTATATCATCTTACATGATGGATGTACCATGTCTCTTGACAGATGTATCATCCAGTTCTCATTCTTTGCACATGCTGAGGTGTCAGAATGTTTTCTGCTCACTGTGATGTCCTACGATCGGTATTTGGCCATCTCTAAGCCCCTGCATTACAACTCTATAATAAACCAATCAAGTTGCATTAAATCAGTGATTGCCATTTGGTTACTAGGATTCAAAATGGCATTGATTGATTCCATATCTTTGTGCAGTCTTTACTACTGTGGACCAAACACCATCAATCACTTCTTCTGTGACTTTGAACCCATACTTGAGCTTTCCTGCTCTGATACTTCATGGCTCCATGTTCAGACCTATGTAATAGGTTTCTTCTGTGTCGTAGCACCTTTTATAATAATTGTGATATCGTATATCTATATTGTTTTAACCATACTCAAAATTAAAACAATTACGGGAAGACAAAAGGCCTTCTCCACCTGCAGCTCTCACTTGACCACAGTGTGCATATTTTATGGGACTCTAACTGCTGTGTATCTGTTTCCAACCAAAGGACAACTAGATATTCTCAGCAAGGTCCTTTCTCTGTTTTACACTGTAATAATTCCATTGATAAATCCAATCACATACACATTTCGGAACAAAGATTTTAGAAATGCTATTGAGAAAATAAAATCATATGTTAAATAAAATATCTGATCTACTGTTACCCGCTATTGATATTTTTGAGATTTAATATCTCTTAGCTATGATTTGGTTAAAGAGAGTTCTTTGGCCGTGAGTGAAAGCTTTAACAAAACAACAGAAATGTATTTGTAAATAGTATGAAGGTCTGAACTAACACACACAGCAATCTATCTATTTACAGAAAAAGGGAAAAAAATAAAAATTAAACAAAGGAATGATAGAATATAATACTCATACCATTGATACACAAACAGCAAGACAGACAACACAAAGGAACAGCATGTATTATTATTATTATTATACAGGATTTATATAGAGCCAACAGTTTGCGCAGCATTTTACAATATAAGGGAGACAGTACAATTACAATACATTTCAGTACAGAAGGAATAGGAGGGTCCTACTCGTGGAGCTTACAATCTTACATGTATACATGTAAGTTCCAAAGAAATGTCTGATATTTACCAGATGTGTAGCATGGGGGCCCCTATGATGATCTTTGGATCCTCTCTCTCTTGTCTTCTCCCCAAGACCTAACCTGATATAGACCTATCTCTCGTAGACTTGCATGGGACCATCCCTATTGATGGAACTATCTATTCCATCTGCTCAAATCTGGTACATTTCATCCAGGATTAGACATTAGATTTACACATCCCCTGTATTTAGCATAACTCAGCCCCTTACTAGCACCTAGAAAGAAAATTAAAGGATAAGTTCACCATTTTGCACAAAAATAACGGTAAATAATTTTTTAAAGGTAAAAAAATGTGCACTTATTATTTTTGACTGTACGAGACTGTACGAGCGCTCAGCAGATCGCTGGTGCCATGCAGGTCTCCTGCAAAATGTAATGAGTGTTTCTAATATCACTTACGCATTTTCTATGTATACTGGCAACGCCTGGGATGAGTGGCATTTGTGACTGTAACTTTTACAAACTTTAATAAAAAAATATTGAAATACAGAAAAAAAAACCATTTTACTTGTCAGGTTGCTTTAGCTGACCTTATCTGCAGATGAATGAACAGAAGGATACAAAGGTAATAATACAGTGTGTTACATTGTATCTTTCAGTAGCATATGAGCAAGTGTTATTTATAAACAATATCAGGCTGCTTTTTTTTATAGCTGCGGCTGCTGATCGTCTCTGTGTACACCAGGGGTCCTCAAACTACGGCCCGCGGGCCACATGCGGCCTGCCGAGGACATTTATCCAGCCCGCCGGGTGTTTTGTAATAGTTGGAATCCACGGCGGCATCCCACTTGCGTACTTTCACTTTCACGCCGATGTAGCGGCAAGATGAGTTCCCCTATGAAGATGTGTGTCCCTGACGCATCTGCGCATGTCAAGGTTTTTGGCAGAAGTAGCTGATCGCCGATCAACAACCATAGCACAGAGCTGTCACAGTTAACCCCTTTTCTGCTGCACCGCTGATTACACTTACACACACCGCTGATCCCGCGGATCACTAGCCACCGATGCTCCAGCAAGATGGATGAAACTTTGAGAAGATACATTTAAAGGTGCTATATACAATAAAATGTATTAATATTGTTCTAATAAAAATCAATGCATTATAGCTATAGATTTACCCTCACTTCCTATTCTGTTGACATGTTTTAACAGACAGGAAGCAAGGGTAAATCTCCAATGGCATAACATACAGAAGTATCTCTAGGAGGGCATGGGCGAGCTAGAACCCACGTAAGATTTTAATTTATATCTGATGGAACTTTTCTCTCACTCCCTGCCCGGTGAAACCATTGTCAACAGAACTGGAAGTAAAGAAGAATCTCTCAGAGCTCTAGATCAGCCTTTCTCAACCAGGGTGCCCATGCACTCTGGGGTGCCTTGAGGTTTCTTCAAGGGTGCCTTGGCAAAATGTCTGAAAACTGCCCAAAACTTGTATAAAAGCTAGCGGGTGGAGCCAAGCCTGCCTTTTAGTTACACAAAGTCACATGTTTTTCATTGCGCACCATTATGACCTTCTAGTTGCCGGTATCCTGACAACCAATGACATCATCACTTGATAAGGTGGATGTTGGCTGCCTGCACAGCATCCTAGTTTGACTCTCCCCCGCCCCTCTCCATCAGTGCTGGGGTCACATTAGCTCAGTGTTGGAGAAAAACTGAGGGATAAGAAAACATTGGAATACTAGCCAGTATCAGTGTGCAAAAGCTTTGGAAGAATAAATCACCTCTAATGTTGGGTGTCCTACATGTGTGGATGTTGCTGCGTTATATAAAACTATTATAATAGTTTTTCATATTTTAGAATGGGGTGCCTCAGGACTGTCCATAATTTTAAAGGATGCCTTGACTGAAAAAAGGTTGCAAAACACTGATCTACATAGTAGTAAAACATGATAGATCCTAAATCCTAACACTTGACACCACTACGTTCCCTAGATAAACACAATGTGGAAGCATTAACTTTTATATACTAAAAGCAAATAAACTGTACACTTTACAGGGAAATTTGCCCCAGAGCTTAGTGAATAAGGTGTAGTACTACTGACTTTATCCATCATCCTACCGTGTGGAAGTAAAAATGCAATTTTTCTTTCTGCATGTGATTGGTATTTTTTGCAAAGTGAACATCAACATATCCACTGAGCTCTGGAGAAAATTCCTTTGCAAAGTTCAACTTCCCCAAAGTAAACATCCTATTTGCATTTAGTAAATCAAACTACGTTTCCACATTCTGCATCATTTACATTCTCTTCTACATGTGCTCTTATAGAGTGATCTATAGAAGGATTGAATGTCCAAGAGTTGTTCATTTTATCTCCTGGGCTTAGTGCTGTACCTTGGCTGGAAGCTGCTGCTGGGACCTTCAGGAGATGTTGAGTCTGGGTCTCATTTTAAAATGACACTGGGGCAGACAGCTGTTGTCCCTGTTCTCTTTTAAATTTTAATTCATGACTCAAGTGGGTGAAAAAAAAATAGAAAGGCAAATCTAAAAAAATGTTTTGTTATAGTTTTGTGTATTTGTCAGGCTATAGTAAAAAGAGTACAATGATCTGCAACTTTATGGTTGTTGTGAGTGCAGCTCATTGTATGCATTACTTACACATAGATGGCAGAGCCCTATTCAGCTTGTTACTGTTAGACTTGTTAGTTTTTTCTGGGGTTTATATTGAAATGTATGTATTGGGTAGGATATCTCTTGACCATTGCTTTCATATGCCTAAACCTAAAACTGATGTTTCACCTTGTATACTTTTGCTTTTTTTCTTTTTCTTTTGTTACTCATACACCCTTTATGCAATGGTGTGAAATGTTTATTTTTTTTGATTGGTGTATTTTTCTTTCATCCAATACAATTTTTATGGAAAAGAAAAGGAGAAATTTTGTATTAAACCAGTGTACCAAGAAAAACATTTATATGTTTTAAAAAAAAATATATATAGATAGATAGATAGATAGATAGATAGATAGATAGATAATAGATAGATAGATAGATAGATAGATAGATAGATAGATAGATAATAGATAGATAGATAATAGATAGATAGATAGAGAGAGAGATAGATAGATAGATATAGATATATATACACACACACATATTTATATATATATATATATATATATATATATATATATATTGTGGGAACTCGCTTCAAATGGTAGAGCTTTGTTAAACGCACACAGCAACTCGCTTGCTTTTTAAGGCCTTTTTAGCCCACTTTTATTTAAATGAAAGTTCAAAACATCAGAAGTTTCCCACACAGGGGTATCGATCATTCACATACACAAAATTCAGCCTCCTGGCTCTCTCAGATATACACAATCTTCCACTGGCCTTCCTCTTCAGGGTTACGTCTGTCTCCTGCAGACACTTTCAAAAACATGGCTCTTGCACACAGCTGGCCATTAGCACACAGCTAGTCCCAAGCAGCTCCTTGCCGCTTTTGGCTTCCACCTCTCCTTGGTGGAGCCCTCCTGACTCCAGTCTTCCTTGGTGGGCCCTCCTGACTCCTATCTGCCGGGGTGGAGCCCAGAACCCTGGTCCTGACTCTATCTAAAGGCCTGCACACACCTGTGCAATCAGTCTCCTGGCCAATTCCAACACCTGGTCCCAGGATTGGAGATTTCATCCCTCCCAGATCTCTTTGAAATCTCCAGGCTCCAGATCCCAAAACAGACCTTACAAACAAAGGAGGAAAGTGAAAAGCCACTTTCCTCCGTATCAAACACTTACCCTGGAGCCCCTCAACCTGCCTTGTTGAGAATCCTGGGTGACAGATCGCCACACTGTCACAATATATATATATAGATAGGTAGATATATAAAAGTTATCGCTAATTACCCAATGCATGTTGTCACTGCCAAACTCAACTCATCAATCCTCAATTATTTCTCATCAGGAAAGGATTTCTATGTGAAAAGGCAGTTGTACAAATTGGATGTAAATGCTCTAGTGCAGTGGTTCTTAACCTTTTTGGAGGTACTGAACCCCACCAGTTTCATATGCGCATTCACCGAACCCTTCTTAATTGGAAAAATAAAATATGATTTTTAAAATTCAAAACATAGGTATATATTTATACATAGGTGCACAAAATGAACAAAACCGTTAAGAACAAAGAACAAAACCATTAAAACATGATTTTCACACAAAAACAAAATAATGAATATTTACTGCACGAATCATATGAGTCGGGTGTGGGTCTTCACCTCTGCCGAACCCGCGAGACTGACTCACTGAACCCCTGGGGTTCGATCGAACCCAGGTTAAGAACCACTGCTCTAGTGGGTGAATGGATATTTAAATCTGCAAAATTAGATGCAGAGCTTCCCATAATTCTAATCATGTCAGCTCTACCTATACACTCAATACAGATCAGAGCGATTTTATACATTTCTGCCATGAGCTTGTTTATTTGGTAATAAAATCATCATACTGTAAGATAGTGAAATCATACATATATTTTGGGGGGGACAAACAAGGCTTTCTTTCATCAACATTGTCTTGCAAAAATGTTTTCATTTTCTA